GCTCATACCAAGTTTTAATGTGAGAGAGCCTGAAGGCAAACAGCTTCTGCAGTGCTCTCTTTAGATAACCATAATGCTTAGGGAATCCTAAGTTATGGATGCACCCTGTAGTTATTGTTTGTACAACAATGTTTTTATATGGGTATGAGAACCCTAGCTTTGCACTGGATATACACAGTTATACACAACCTGCGGGCTGAATTTAAAAGGATAGAACAGATTCCTCCATCCACACTTGGATGAACGATTCTCCCACTGTTTGTACTGTATTCTGACAGCGTTCGCTGACTGCTGCCAAAATACCCAGACGGAGCTTGCATCCATCCAACTGCAAGTTCCATTCGACTGAAGAGTTTCCGACCTGCTCCTTCAATCAGTTGATTGAGGTTAGGCTATAATGCAGGTTAACTATTTCCAGTCACACCTACTGTGAAGCCCTTACTCTATCTCACATTGATAGGTGAATTTATACAAGCACAGAATCAAACACGGGAACTTAGAACTACCTGCAGATTAGGTAACCTGGCAGCTGCAAGTGTGTAGGTTAAAATAAACTGACATACATGCTGTTTTAATGTTTCTTTGATAGTATTTGTAGTTCACTTGCCACACAGAGTTATTCCTTCAGCCTCATTGACATGGATGAGCAGAGCCATAGAGTCTGCGTATATCCATACCTGTATGGATGTACAAGTTTGGGTCGGCATTTCCCAGTGTGTAGCCACAGCCTATCATCAGGGCCGGATTTGCTCTCCCTGCCACCCCAAAGCCAGGTTCCACAATGCGCCACAAAAACGGAGAATGGCAACCGGGTGGCAGGGGCGGCAGGGTTAGTTCTAATTTCTTTGTTTCTTTATTTTTTCTTACTTTTTTTCTGGTGCATTTGGTGATGCTGATAGCAGGGAGGCGTATCTGTCAGAGGTTTTGAAATGTAGCCAGCATGCCCAGGTTGTGTAAAAGTTGTTATAGGTGTCTGTGCTGGAGTGATGGAGTGATGGAGTTCCTCCATCAACCTCAATCTATCTACTCGGGTTAACCATTGTGCAATGGTGGGCATCTGTGGAGCGCCAATATTTAGGTATGAGCGCTTTGGCAGTGTTCAGCAGGTATGGTACTAACGATTTCCGATATGATTTCGTCGACATTGGGGTATGGTGGAAGAGGCATTGCCACGGGTCCAGGGCTGTGGGTATACCAGTGATATCCTTGATAAGATTAGTAATCTCTTCCCAGTACCCACGTACCCGTGGACAATCCCACCATATATGAGCTAAACTGCCTATTGAGCCACAGGAGCGCCAGCAAAGTGAGGGGGTTGATGGGCAGATTGCATGTGTTGTGAGAGGAACCGTGTACCATCTGGCTAAAAGTTTATAATTAACTTCTTGCATATAACTATCGGACGAGGCAGATAAACACACATGTAACAGTTTAGAGCGTTGTGAGGGACTAAGAGGTCTCTGGAGATCCCTTTCCCATTTTTCGACATATGCTGGAGGCGAGGAATGATTCAAGTCCCCAATGATCTTATAGATGGTTGACAGAGTATGACTCGGTGGTTCGGGTGAGCCCAAAAGCGTTTCAAAGGGTAGGAAGCTCGGAGTGTCTCGTAAGGGGCCTGGTAGGGAGGCAATAAAATGCTGAATCTGACGATGCTTCCAAAAGTCCATAGCAAAAGATCCCCAGCGTGTCCGCAGGAATTGTATAGATAGGAGGGTAGTTCCATGGAGTACATCCTTGAGGCGTAGGCTTGCTGTGTCTGTCCATAGTAAAAAAAAGTTCGGTCAGATTTCCCTGGTGGAAAATAGTCCGATCCTGTTAGGGGTAACAAGAGCGAATTGTAGGGCCACCTGTGAACGTTGTGCAGTCGTTTACATGTGTGCAATGCTGCCACAGTAAGTGGGGAGGTTGTGGAAGACAAGGAGCGTTTAGACGGAGGGACCCAGATACAATCAGCCAATGTGGCTGCGCACAAGCTATTTTCCAAGGCAACCCATCCCTTATGCAAGGCATTGTAGGTCCAGTCTGCCAGCCTAACCAATTGAGCGGCCATGTGAGAGGATTTGAAATCAGGAAGACCCAGACCCACTTTGGTCTTGTGTCGACTGAGGACCAGGTGAGATATTCTGGGTTTTTTACGATGCCACACAAATTTAGATATTAAGGCTTTCAACGTGGAATAATAGACTGCAGGAAGAGTGATGGGAAGCATTTGAAAGTAGAATAGGATTTTGGGGAGAATCATCATTTTAATGGCATTAATTCTACCTATCCAAGATAGTGAGCGAATGGGGTAAGATTTAAGATCTAGTTTTACAGCGTTCAGTAAGGGGATGTAGTTACTATTATAAAGGGTAGATGTCTTCGGGGTAAGGAGTATGCCAAGGGAGTGCAAACAGTGTTTTTGCCATGTAAAAGGGAAATGCGGTGCTAGACTCTGCCTGTCTACCTCTGTCACCGTTATGCTCATAATCTCTGATTTTGTCAGATTGATTTTGAAGTTGGATAGTTCGCCGTATATGCGTAGTTCTGACAAAATATTAGGAATCGATGTTCTAGGGTTTCGCACATAAAAGAGGATGTCATCGGCATACGCCGCGGGTTTGTATTCCATGGTAGAGTGAGCGATACCCTGAATGTCTGGGTTTTTCCTGATCGTAGCTAAAAAGGGCTCTAGAGAGAGAATGAACAACAATGGCGACAGAGGGCAACCCTGGCGTGTGCCATTATGCAGTTGAAATGAGGGGAATAAGGTGCCGTTTACCCGGACTCTAGCCATAGGGGAGTTATATAAGGTTGAGAGCCACGCCAGCATCCGAGGACCAATCCCCAGCGTTTGTAGTGTGGCGAACATGAAGCTCCAGTCCACTCTATCAAATGCCTTTTCGGCGTCAGTAGATAGTAGTAGGACTGGAGACTTCTGAGCATTGGCCAGGTGAATCAAGGAGACAGATTTGAGGGCGCAATCCCTAGCTTCCCGCCCTGGGACAAACCCAACTTGATCTGGGTGTATCCAGTGGGGGAGAAGGGGATTGAGCCTGGTGGCCAGGATTTTTGCATATAATTTGGTGTCCACGTTTAACAAAGAGATGGGGCGGTAGCTCAAACAGCTGGATGGATCCTTACCAGGCTTCGCGAGGATTATGATATGGGCCAGTAGTGATTCTGGGCGCATGGGCGAGTCACCTGCAATCGAGTTTACATACTGACAAAAGTAGGGGGCGAGGAGATCTTGGAAATGTTTAAAGTATAAAAGTGGGAAACCGTCTGGTCCAGGGCTTTTGCCTAGGGGGGTTGATTTAATAGCTAATTTAAATTCCTCAGGTGTGATGGGCGTGTCTAAGGACTGTAATAATTGAGCGTCTAATGAGGGCAGACCCGCGTTATGTAGATAGGAGGCAATCTTAGATATGAGATCTGGTGGCGGGGGGGAGGACGGATCAGACCATACTTTGTAAAGATCCTGGTAATATTCTTGAAAGACCACAGCTATGTCGGCTGTGAGGTGGACCATGGATTCCAATTTGTTTTTAATTTTGGGCACATAGGTGGCAGTGCGTTTAGACCTCAATGCTCTCGCTAGGAGTTTGCCTGGTTTGTTACCCAGCTCATAAAATTGCTTACCTACTTTAGCGAAGGCTTGTCTAGTGTCCGATTCCAGGAGCTCTCGGAGGTGGTTCCTCCGTAAAAGGGAGTGTTTGGTACACCGTCATATCAAGAGTAGCTTTGTGAGATTGTTCCAAGGAGTGTATCTCAGACAATAATGAGCAAATCTGAGATAGACGGTCTTTTTTTCGTTTAGAGCCTGCTGCCATTAAGACACCTCTCACCACCGATGCATGCACGTCCATGAAAATGAGGCCTTGGAGTCTCTCGCCACAAATCTGGAGAAATCTGTGTAGTCACATACACTATGCACTGCATTGAAAACTGGCAAGCAGGGCCCTACTAACCCTCTTGTCTTGAGTTGTATTGTAACTGAATCCCTTTATTTTGTAAAGCACTGTGCACTCTGTTGGTGCTATATAAATCCTGTATAATAATATACAGGTGAGATCTCTCACCTTAAAAGTGATGAGGCGTTTCCTGCAGGCAATCAGTCCAGAAAGGTAGAGGTGTCGGAGAGCATCACGTCCAAGCTGTAGATCTATACCATCAGGGGTCACAGTAAACTGAAAGGCTACAGCCTGGTGAGCTTCTGCCATCTTGTGTCCTTCAGAAAAATAGAATAGCATGAGTTTTTACACACTTTGCAAATGCTGTGAACATTGTGCTTCTTAAATGTTATGATGGTCAGATACAACTGTCATACATACTAGTCCAGGGCAAAGATTTCCTATGTAACCAGAAAATATTAATCTACATCCTCCCTTTACTGCCACCATGAATGAGAAAATGTACGGTATAATCACCCTGGCACATTCTAGTTCACCACTGAAAGTGTTTATAGAACAGGTACATTTAAGAATGTCATCAGCTGACTTGGCAATGTAACGCAGAGCCATTGCTGGAGGAGAGTACATAAAGTTGTCCTGCCTGCAGAAAATGAAGGTAAACAGGGAAAAGCACAGTGATTAAGAAAGTCAGAGAAAACTCAAAAGTTTATATGGCTACAGAGCTCTTAGTTGTCTATTCAGCTTTTTTTACATTGATATTACCATATTTTGCATCTGTATGGTAACTAGATGCTGAGCCTCCACCTATTTAGAAGTATATCCTCTGCGTCCTTCATTTTAACTGGGACCCCTAGAATGTACCTACCACCAATACAACTTACTTCCTTTAAATCTTGAGTAAAGACAGTCCAATCGGTTGAATGTTTTTTCTGCAACTTTAATCTCAACTGGTGGGTCGTGACCCAAAAGTGGGTCGCGACCCCATGTTCAGTGGGTCGCCGCATGCCTTCCATTTTCCTAGGTGAGAGGCTCCTCTACCTCTCCCCAGTGCAGCACTCTCAGTTCTCGTGCCAAGCAGCCATTCAAAATATGCTGCCCGGCGCCGAGTGTTAGCTTGAGGTGGGATGGGATGGGGGTATGGCTGTGAGGGAGCTCCATCTATACATGCATGCATTTGCTTATGTGTCCTTTACAGGTGCCTGGACAGGAGTGATATCACATTTGGGCTCCTGCCACCTCTACAGGGCACAAAAGGGAGCTGTACAAGCAATGCACATGTCGATGGAGCTCCATCACAGCACACTGGACCACAGGCTGAGTATCCATTCCAGCTCTAGTAAGGTAGGGAGAGTGGGTGGACCTTAAAAAAAATAAAAACATTTTGGAGTACGTATGTGTGTGAGAATGTCTGAGTGTGTGAGATTGTGTCTGTGGTTGTGTATGTATGTCAGTGTTTTTGAGGGCCCATTCACACTGGTGCAGTGCGTTAATCGCATAGACAGTGCAATTAACCACTGTACCACGCAATTGCACCAACCATGCATTCTGGTGTGGGAGGTGTGTTGCGTTGCCATTAATTTGAATGTTACCCCAAACGCACCTCCCACCCACAGCGCGTACGCCCGCACCAGAACGCACGTTTCCCTAATGCCTTGCGTTCCATTGCAGTGTGACTTGGGTCGCGACTTAATGACCAAGGATAAATGTGGGTCCTGATGTCACACAGGTTGAGAACCACTGATCTAGTAGATGAAGAAATCATACTGTTCTTCTTAGCCTGCCTGCCCAGCATCATAAAGTAACAATATAAACAGTGGGTGGGCGAGCAGTAACAGTTTATGAGGACATGAAAGTCTGCATTCAGTAGGATGTGCCACCTTTACCTAGTAATTATCAAAGGAGTAATTGGCAAACTGGAGAAATCTAAAACAAGACTAGAAAACCTCTTTGCAAAACAATAATTATTGTTTCATAGTGCAGAATGAGATGTGTGCAGGCCAATAGCTGAATACATAAATATACACATGCTAGCAATGTGTACTGTTGGTGCTGCCCTTATGAAGCTGTGTGGATGAAGCTTGCCGTGTAGGAAATATACAGTAGGATACTGGGCCACCCAACTAGGCCCTAAAACCATAAATCCCAACTGTCCCTTACTTGGAGGGACCGTGTTGGAATGTACAACATTTTTCATCTACTAAATCTACCGAACGTCTACATTCATATATTGAATCTAACTAAGATTACGTGGGCCATCAAAGAAGCCAGCTATGTTTTAGAAGAGCTGGGGGTCATGGTATTTATCGCTGCAGGAGGTATGGCAAGTGAGGTGATAAAGAGGAATTCAATCTCCTGGAAAGGAGGTCACACATAGCACCCTGTGGTGTTGATGAGGGTTACAGTTGGGCAAAAAAGTATTTAGTCAGCCACCAATTGTGCAAGTTCTCCCACTTAAAAAGATGAGGAGAGGCCTGTAATTGGCATCATAGGTAGACCTCAACTATGAGAGACAAAATGAGAAAACAAATCCAGACAATCACATTGGCTGATTTGGAATGAATTTGCAAATTATGGTGGAAAATAAGTATTTGGTCAATATCAAAAGGTCATCTCAAACATTGGGAGACACCCTCAAGGAATCCTGCATTGCATCTAAAAGGTGGCTGTCTATCACCTAAGGATCAAAGGACAAGGTGTTGACCTAGGCCGAGGAATGACCTGCAGTACGAAGGTGTCCCCTGCTGGAGGACTTCATTGCATGCTGACAAATCTTAAGGGAGATGCGGATTGGACGAAAGACCTACAAGGGGCTTAAGGAATTCTGGGTAAAGGGGTGTCAATGTATGTGTATGAATGGGTCCTGTGTACTACAAAAGCCACTGCTCAGCCATATTGCGCTCGCAGACGCTGCTCCTTAATAATACCATAGCTTGTTTTATACAGATTGTTGCTGTAGTGTGTTAATAAAACAAACTTTTTGATTAACAAACTGCTTTTATTGATTGTTACTTCACCATGACGTTTAGTGTACTTAGAAGAACAACTGTCTGAAGGAATGTTGTGCTGACATATATTTTAATATAATAACATTATATCCCAATTACAGAATTGTATCACAAAAAAAAAAATGTAAACACAGATTTAAAACACATAAATGCCACTGAGTCAGGATTTAAAAATTGCCTCCCACTCTGCCCACTGCAATATGATTATAATATGAACTTATGATGACACGGTACATAATTTTTGTTTACGGATTCTGGCATACAGAAAATAACATTTGGCTTAAAACTGATTAACCAGGTCTAGCTAAATTACAAGCACCTTTAAAACTTTCTGCTCTGGTTAATGTTCACTGTGTACTTCTCTGCTTCACACACATTCCCTTGCAGCAGCAACACAACTTGTAAGTTTATTTCCATACAAGAGACTTGGATGCAGTCCAAGTATGTGAAAGGTTAGGGAGCAACAAGAGAGAAGGGCTCGGGATTTCAGGCGTAAAAAGAACAGGTGAAGGATAAAAGGGCAGATCTGACTGGCAGTTAAATTACGATTATATATAAGACCGCCATTAGAAATCTTGGGGCCCCAATGCAGCCTACATGGACTCTGGACTAAGTGACGCACTGGACTGGGGACTTGGTAACGCACTGGACTGGGGACTTGGTAACGCAACGGACTGGGGACTTGGTAACGCAACGGACTCGGGACTTGGTAACGGACGTACTGGACCCACCTAAGACCCCGCAGAGACCCCACCTGAGAGTGACCCTGCAGAGCCCACCATAGATCCTGCACAGCCCATCTGAGACTATCTATGGTGGGCTCTGCAGGGTCTCAGATGGGCTGGTCAGGGTCCTTTCCCCTGAACTTGCAGCTCCTTACCTGCCTCTGCTGGGCCCCGGCCTCCTCCACCGCCGCAGGACACACCCGACCGGCGCTGCTTGGTCCCACCCTCCTCCGCCGCCAGACCGGCACTACTGTGCCCTGGCCTCCTCCTCCGCCCGACCGGCGCAGCTTGGGTGTGGCCTCCTCTGCTGCTGGACCGGCACTGCTTGGGCCCAGCCCCCAGCCTACTCCACCTCCTCCCCTGTCAGTGCCCTCCCCCAGCCTTGGCCAGGTCAGTCAGTCCGCCCCTGGTAGGGGGCCCCAGGCCCCCCAGTAGGCCGATACCCGTGTAAGGGGCCTGGGCAGCCTGGGGCCCCCTACACGGGTATCGGCCGTACTCCACTGATGGTGGCCCTGAGAATATATAACGTGATATGGCCAGGAAGAGGAATTAGTTAATATCAATATAAAATACTGTACTTAACATACAAGAAAGTTATTGGGACTGTTACAATGTATACTATTAACATATACCTGCAGTTAATACTTTTATATCAGCATTGGGGGTTATAATACAGGCATGATTTTTGCTACTCATAAGTAGTCATGAGACAGTATACATAATGATATTACAATATATGTATACTACTAAATGTGTTCACTAGGTTGCATATTAGAAGGTTGGATACTAAACTTTGTTCCATAACTGAGCCTACATCAAAGCATCAGAACAACACTTCGCTATGTTATACCAGTAGGGGAGGGGACAACCTTCAACAGTTATTGTTGCACATGATTTCTTACTGGCTTGGCTCCCTTTGCTTACCATAGTACTGTGCTGCATTCACGTCATCCTGCCCTTGCTAGCATAATGCCATGGCTGGACAGGTCACACATCATATGCTCTTCAAGTGAACCTCTGTAATGGCCTTTTGGTAACCTCATTGGTCATCTGCAATAAGCCTGTATACCCTAATCCTAATCCTAATCCAATGAAACATATGCTTAAAGCGGAACTACAGCCTCTTATCCCTTACAGCCAAGGAAGGTGTGATCTTAGCCTCTATTTAGATTGTGGTTGCCATGGTGCTGCACATGTGATCAGCTTTGACACCAGCCATTTGAGGGCTTGAAGTTCAGTTGAGAGCTGAAAAAAGCACACTGACAACCTTAACAGTTGACATGCCTTTAAAGTAACTGTTTAGGGAGACCATTAAATTGGTGGGTAACGTTCCTATTTAAGGCCAACCTCCAGGTAAAAAAAATACTACCATTGCAGTGGGGTTATTCCACCACTGCATGTGTTATCTGCTTGTTTATGTCTAGGGGAATGGTGAAGAGGACTTTTACTTACCTGATCCCTGCTCCCTTGGTGGTCTGCCCTCATCGCTCTTCCCTCCCCTCCAAGCTCATGTACTTTATCTCAGTATACTCACACATTATGCAGGGCTATGAGCCTCCACTAGAAAATGCTATTTGACTGGTTGTTATGCTGACCCTCTGGCTTCTGAATGAATGACCCACAACTTTGAAGACCAAGAAAGACAGAATAACGTTAGAGGTCTTTATCTTCATACTTTTTCTGGGTCAGCGACACAAATTATTGAAGCTAGAAGGCCAGCCTGAAAGTCATGCAACTAGCAATTTCAGAATAGGAAATCAGCAATGGCTTCCTTGTTTGTCTCAGAAAAGTTTTCTTTAGGGCCAGTTCACACCAGCCACAGTGAATCATAGTCCTATTGGAGCCGGAATGCACTGGATCGCATTGCAGCCAGCTCACTTTGTGTTGGGGCGGGAGGGGGCGCCCCAACTCAATGGCACCGCAGCCACACCCTCCAGCCGCAGTGCGATGGGCCGTACGGGAACGTGGGGCAATTCAGTACCTATGTTCCGGTCAGAAAAATAGCGCTTGCCACATGTTCCCATGGGGCCGATTGGACTGCGGCCGGAGGGCGTGGCTGCGGTGCCATTGAGTTCAATGCACCGCCACATCCACCTCTCGCCCCAACACAAAGTGAGCTGGCCGCAATGCGATCCAGTGCATTCCGACCCCAATCGGGCCGGAACGCACTGTGGCTGGGGTGAACTAGCCCTTAGGGCATGTAGTTGGTAGTTAAATAGAACACTTTCATAGATATCTGTACATCAGACCAAAAAGAGAGACAGCTGAGGAAAGAAGGACAGAGGGATTTGGTTCAAAATGAGGGACAGCTGGAAGGTCTGCCTCCCTGTTGGGTATCCCCATGTTTTACATGTATTCTGCTCTTTAATTCCTGGCATTTTTAAAATGCAGCAAACTACCTGCCACCATCTGAATGAGGCCTTATGTTGACAGATTTAAAAAATCCTCTTTAGGTAAACTCTAAGTAGTACAAGGATTTTGGCAAAGCTCTGCATTTCTGACACACTTCCTATCCTCAGTGCTAGTGGGAGGGTCTTCCTGCTATGATTCTGTTATCCCATGGTTGTAATACGGAAAAAAAACTGCCAATCTTATGAACAGGAAATGGCATTTAAAAAGTGTAAAGAATGACCTTGTCTTGGTTACAAATACATTTGACGGTGTTGGCTGGCTGCAGCTTGAAACAGAAAAGTCATTTTAATGAAATTAAATTACAAAATAGCTGGTGTACCAGTTCTATATGTTATATCATTTTTAATGAAAGTGGGGTTTTCCTTTGAAAAAAAAGTATTTTTATAATCCCCTAAACAACGTGACCCCAACTGGGCAAGAAAGAGGCAATAGTGTGAGCTGGTTGGGCTCTATTACATTATCAGCTATTGTCGTTTTAACACTGATGGATCGGTAACAAAGCTCCACTGCTAAAAGTGAAACTGTATCCAAATCTATCTTTGTTGTGACTACCAGGAAATAGTTTAATCCTGCTCTTTTCTTTCCCAGGGGTGGAGAGTTCTCCCTATTTCCTATTCTGGAAGCAAAACAGGAAGTAAGATGAATTCTTCCTAAACGGAGGAGAATTCCCAGCTTTGATGGTATCCTCCATAAAAGATTCCCCCTCTATTCCTGTTCTAGTGGAAACTTTACCATTTTTCATTCTGTTTGGGGTTAACAGATGGGAAGATGAGGGAAAATCTCACCACAAAGGAAAGAGCGGGCAATAAAACCTGACAGATTTTAATCCTACTTGTCACACAAAACTAGAGGTGGCTGGAGTTCCATTTTAATTGCAGTGCAGAAAATTGACATCCCCAACCTGCAGATGCTGTCTGGCAGGGTGGCTGCATCACAAGACTGGCTGAAATCAGTTCTCATATTCAGCTGTAGATTGAGTTGTTTGCTTAGCCTTCAATATCTTAAAATATAAGTCTGTTCTTTATGGCCCCTGACCATTCATTTCATAAAGGTCAGCTGAAAGACAATGCTCAGGCCCCGTAAGAACTCCACAGTCACAAAACACACGTCATTTTCACAAGACACCAACATAAACAGCGATGTATAATGACTCCTTAACACTGCTTACATACATAAACTGCTGTTCATAGTAATGTTACTACAACGCATAAAGTGTTATTTAAACATAGCGGCGTACAATAAAAAAAAAAATAAACACCTACCTGTTTTTCAATCTTATGCTCCACAGATCTTTCAGCTCTACCCACAAGCATACAGACCCACAGCTGCTGCCTTCCGTCCTCTCTGTGTCCTTCAAGCACTGTGTGTGTGTGTGTATGAGTGTGTATATGTCATTTTCTCAGTTGCAGCCAAAACCCAGCCAGTGTAACCTGAGACACGACAACACAGAGCTGAGATGTTCCTGCGCAGATTAGCACTAAAAGGAAATTTCTAGGCAGCTACAGTGTAAAAAGCAGAGAGCGGAATTCATCAAAACTGGAGCAGACAGAATCTGAAGCAGTTGCCCATAGCAACCGATCAGTTTTTCTTTTAAGTTTGTTCAGTTAAGCTTTGAAAAGAAAACACAGGCAACTACTCGAGATTTTGTCTGCTCCATTTTTTGTGTATTCCCCTCAGATTGTTTATGGAATACATACCACAATGGCCTACGCACATTTCTAAGTTGTTTTATCTGACAACTTATAATACAGAAATAAAAGATTGAGCCATCAGAGGAAAAGAGACCACACCCCTAAATCCACAAATACAACATCGAAACATAGATTTGAAGTGGGCCTTTTAAGGAGTCGTACCAGAGGTGAAAAGAATACAATTATTTGATGTAAATAATGTCAGGTTTTTTGGAAGCAATAAATTCTATTATAACATATAAACAGATGTATATTAATGGCATATGCCATGACGCTATTTGCTGCTTGCTTAACCAGACATCATATCTTCCTGGACCAAACAAACATTGTGTTCATAATCAAATCAGTAGATTCCTTAGTCATCAATTTTCCCACAAGAATGAACTTAATATATTCTTTGATCGTGATTTTAGTCCTTAGGTCATGCATGAGTGTGTAGTGGGTCCAGCCTTCTACGTGTTTCATCAAAGCTTCTTTAGAAAGATAGGATATATAAAACCGCTTTCTGAAAGCTTAGTGGTTAGTAGGTTCACATATCCGGGGGACACAACCATTCACTAGGGAGGTATAGAGTGGGAAGCATCCGAAGATGACATGGTAGGAGGAGCTCGATAGCCTCACATGGATACCTAGCCCTCTCGGCCAGCTTAGAAAGTTAAAAATGAAGACTGATTGGTAGCGCACTCCTGGGGGGGGGGGTTGGTGGTATGTCGTGGCCGTTGTGCAGCTCCTTGTGTTGTTAGACCGGGGTGTCTAACTGTGTACTTATGAACGGAAAGAAAGGAAGGGTAGGAGCGCAACTGACTGGCACAGACTTTATGGGGGTGGATGGACCAGTGAATGGCAGTGGATCAGGTGAAGGTGGGTGGGAAAGAGGGATGAGCACTCACGTGTGATGAGATGGCTGGCACACAGGTGATGGGCTCCTGGTGATGTTGTGACCTTTAGATCATCCGAATTGGTTGCGTTTCGGGAAGGCGGTGCTGTGTGGTGAGGTGCCAGCACTTCTGGTCGGATATCCGGAGTGTCAGCGTGTGATCAGAGACAAATGGATGAGTAGGTGAGTATATGAGTACAACCTCTAGTGGGTAACAATACATGAACTTACCATGTCAAGTCATAGCCTTCATCTACTGTGGTTTTCAATCAGATCTCTTCCCATCTGTAGGCACTAAAGAGCAGGCATGGAACAAAATTACTGGAGACCTTCTATTATAAACAATCCTGCACAACACTAAGACTGGTAACTTTTTTCACAAGAAATCCTTTTTATATACAGTACAAGCATCCCGTGCTCCTTAAGCCTTCCCATACCTAAAACATTACCGTTTGTAACATTTCATAACGTCCGTATACATATATAAATTGGCTATTCAGCAGAGCACAAAGCTTTTGCCCGATTATTAGCCTTGGTGCTTCAGAAAGGTAAAAGGCTGTCACAGCTTAAAGTGCATTTCTGCCTTTGCAAATTTAAGAACCCCACCTTTATATGTTTATGTGTTCCCATTCACACAGCATTTAATTGAAGCAGGTTTATGCATACTAAATAGTTTGGTTCTATTACTTAGAATAGATGGCACTATAGAGATAAGGAGCAATGTGGGCTTTTCTTTTTTTTTAAGTGCATTAACAATGCATCACCCAAGCCTTGAGATATTTATAATGACATTAAAGGCAAACATTTTTTTCCCTCCCCCCAATGTTAATTAAAGCACTTACCTTAAATGATGTCCCTTAATCCGATCTTCTTCTTCTTTCCTGTAGTTTTCAGCCTTCTCTCCAGTGCTGCTGTGGGTCTCCGATCCAGCGCCAGCTCCTCTGGCACTTCCTGTCCACGGTGTCTGCATGCAGGTGCACGCGTCCATAGACATACCTTGTGTCTCTCTTCGTCTCCGGGCCGAAAATCCTAAGTGCGCATGCGCCTGCCCCAAGATGCTTTGCGGCCACCCGAGACTTTTCAGATTTTCGGACGGGAGCGCGCTGCGAAGACACAGATCTGCCAGTACAGACAGGATTAATTAGGCAAACAAATCTCTCCAGCCTCCTCCTTAACATTAAATAAAAAGGAATAGCTAACTGGGAATTTTCAGCAAAAAGAAGGTAAGCAGCAATTTGTTTTATATTTTTTTTGTGTTGGCTACCAAAGTAGAAATAGGCCTTAGACAAAAACTATTATCATGTTAATGTTTTCAGATATACTTGTAAAAGAAATGAGCATGTAAACAGTTATCACTGTGCATGAAATAATAATAAAAACCTTATTTCCATGTATAGTTTGTAGTTATCTGTCCACACAGGGCAGTGTTTTTATTACAGACACCCTGCAATACAATACTGAGATTCTAGGCACTGGATGAGCATTAACTTTCATTGATCTGCTAAGCTCTTGAGAGCGTTACATAATTGTCTACACATTCTTTTGTTATCCTGTTAGTAGAGACTAATGTATGTATCAGTTTTTTGGTCATGTAAAAGGGAACTTATTACTATTTACTTTCTCTCGGCACAACCGCAGCTTCCATCCACAGCAGTCCAAAATACTCACCGCGCAGATTCTGCAGTCGGATTTCTATGGTGAACAGCGCCCAGGTGCTGGCAAAAAGAAAGGTGCATTTGCCCCTGCAGTGATTTCTATAACTAAGCCTTGTTAGTGAAACGCATGAGAGTTTTCCTCTTATGATGGGGAGCGTAATCTGGTGTATGCTGTTTTATGGATTGAAAAAGTTTGGATTCACATTGGAAGATCTGTTTAGCGCGGCTCCCTTTGAGATGGTATCACTGCGGGTTCTGACTCTCACACTCCAGGGCTCTATGCTGGCAGGAATGAGTAAAAGCCACACACCCAGTTTACAAATATCCTAACATATTGCAAAGAAAGAGTGGGCGGCGTGTCAGGCCAGAATAAGAGTGGTTACCAACAGTTCCGTCCTTAAATTGAGGCTGTTGCCTCAGGCGGCATCTCTTTGGGTCACGTGGGGGGGGGGGGGGACAAAGTGTCCCAGGTTGCTAAAAGCCAGATGGGTAGATAGGGCCATACACATCTTCCTGTCCAGCTCTTAGCAACCTGGGAGGCCCTGCCTAGTTTTACAATTTTTTATATGTCGCACGCTAAAATTGACCTGATGCCATTATAGTTTTCCTTTAGGCTAGTTAAAGATTATGCTACATTTTATACAGATTAGTAGTTTCTCCTGAGAGATACACCTTGCTAATTGTGTTGTAACATATTTTTACCATAATTAATCCAGTGCATATACAGTATACGAGTATCATAGTTTTAATTAAGGGATTTTTTTTAAATTCTGTTCCACAATCACAGACACGAAAGCATAAGTAGTCATCTTGCAACGGACCCATAAAAAGATGGATGTTCTTACTTTAATGTAATATCCGTTTATAAAACCACTGCCATGAAGCACCATAAATAGAAAGGCATTTTAGGTTTCCTTATATAAAGTAGAAATGTAGATAAAATATTCTCTAACAAGATCCTCCAATGGATTTCCGTAATCTGTGTTTTTACCGAGCTTACATTGTCTTTTTGCCAACTGTTGTTATACGAATAATCTGGATAAATCTTCTGTCAATGTGGAGCCAATGAAAGAAATTAAAAATTCTAATCTACATCAAAGTCCTTTTACAATTCTAGGCTTAGCAACAGGCATACACAGTTCTAAGCCATATGCTATGATGAACTGGTAAGCTAGATCTCTAATCACTAGAATTACTACTGCTTCTCAATCATTCTGCTTAACTATTTAGGAAGTCCTGATGCTATAGCAACTGGTTTGATTATCACAGCATCATATTTTTGTTTCATAGCACGGTCATTATGCTGTCATTGTAAAATTTGTAGCCAAAGCATCACAGTGATGAGCAAATCTACCTTGGTTCAATTCGCCATGGGTTCAGCAAATCTTGTTCAAAGTGCAGCAAACCCCAACTAGGAGACAAATCCCGTCTCTGCAGAAGACAAATCCCGTCTCTGCAGAAGACGTGCATCTAAAACCTCTGTTTTTAACCTTAGCCGTTAGACAGGTTTTTTTTTTTTTGCATGCTGGCTGGTGAGTGTGGTTGGAAACTTTTTGCTGTTGTACTGTTTATAGCCTTTCCATGTGCACCTTGCTTTAAAGCTGGTTATGAGTTGATGAGTGCGTTTGCCATTTGTTTTGCTTGTCTGATTTGGTGCAGTGACACACTGGGGGTCTCAGCTGCCGTTGTGTCCCTGTGCCTTTAAGAAGATTGGGCTGCCTCCGGGCAAACCTGCACCCAGTTTATCTTTTGCTACATATGCTCCAAGATGAAGACTCTCATAGTTTAGAGTTAGGACCGCATTATATGGAAGTGCCTTGGCGAGGCGGTGCGACTTTCACATTCTGCAATAGACGTGTATCTAAAACCTCTGTTTTTAACCTTAGCGGGTAGACAGGTTTTTTTGCAGGCTGGCTGGGAAACTTTTTTCCCAGTAAATCCTATTAAAACCTAGGCATTTTAGGGCCAATAGGCTAATTATCTATAAATTATGTTTAAAATGACAACAAGACACCTTTAGAAATGTTTAGTAATGACAATCTACAAACACATACTTCTAGATAATTGCAGGCTTTTTATGCTTTACATACCTTATTGTTCTTTTCCTCCCCATTCCTCTTACAGTGGCCATTTTTACTAAGGGCAGATTCATTC